ACCCGGCGCGCCTGGCGGCCCCGGCTCTCCGGGCTCACCCTGCAACACAACCGGACCATATTCAGCGGGAATATAAGAAACAACACACTTTACCACTTACCTTTGATGCACACATATGTATGAATGGAACATTAAAAAAATTACCGCCGTACCACTATAATGCAGTAGATATTTTAAAAGTTGCACGGTGATATTTTGCAAAGGCAGCTAAAATCATGCTGGAATCGTTTATTTGAATAAAGGAGCAAGACGTCACAATAACTGAGGATTCGCGGGTGAGGTGAACCGAAACCGCTGACGAGGCGAACAAAGGTCTCGCGCTATCTTCGTCAAACTAGCAGCTAAAGGACTGTAATTTATTATGAAGAAATAAAGGGTGAGCGGCAAGTGGGGGAGGTGCTAAGGCAGTTGGCGTCGGGCCGGGACTAACCTTTAACTGGATGACGGAGTGCGCGGAGATGTTGTGTCCGGCGGCCTGCAGCCCCTGCGGCGTCGGCAGTCAGTACACACACACAACATGAAAAGCGTACCAACAAACATCAACATATTACTCAAACGAACTAAAAGCTTCTAAACTAAATACAACGAAAACGACGATCTCGCGCGGTGCGAGAGCCGCCCGCGGATGCGCCAAGCGTGGTCAACTCGATGCAATTACAAACTTTGCAAAAAAATAATAATGTTGTAAGCAATGAAAAATATCAAAAGATATATGTGCCGGTAAGTCTCAGCGGCAAATGATAAGGAGGCTAGGCGGCGTAGGCACACAGCGCGCGGTACCTTCACGGCAATGATCTCCGCCGTCGTGTACGCACTCATCTTATAGTTGTCCACGGATCTTTTCACCCCCTGCAACCGGCGCAACACAATTTATTTAGCTCGCCGTCGCCTTCACCTTCGCCTCTTCTATAGTTTAACTTTTGTATAGATATATAATATGTAGGTATATTTTCTGTTACATAATTTTATTTATCTCCTTTTGCATTAGGTTCCTATATAGCTTTCGGTGTATAACATGTACTGTCAAAAAGCTATTACAATATATGTATTGTGTGATCTGCGTTTATGAATATTATTTTGAAAAGTAAATTTTATGATAGAAACACCCGTATGTACCTTCACTGCAGCGAAAACATCAAAACCTGGACTGCCCAGCTCGCCCTTCTGCCCCTTGTCCCCCGGCCGTCCCTGAAACATTGTACCTCGTACATTGTCGTGACAAAACTAAGAGCTAGACTGAGCGCGAGGTGCAACACGCAATTTAACCTTTAATAAAATTATAAAAACGGTTATAATCATACTTAGCAATAACAAAAAATAATAACGAGCAAATAGCAAAGATGTTTGTAGAACAAACAGCATTTTGGTTTAATTTTTTATATTTAAGAGCAAGTTCAATGTTAGGGTCAGGGGGAGCTCTCACTGACTGCAGCTAAAATAGAGATATACTTGTATGGGTTACTGTTTAGATGCAAACGTGAGGCTTGCACGGCACATCCGCGTCAGTCGCGAGACATACTCGTACTTCATTGTAAATGAATACAATACATCGACTTACCGGGTCTCCCTTAGGCCCGTCCAGTCCAATCGGTCCCTGTAAAAACCACAACCAAAATTCAATAGCTAATCTCCATTAATCATATAAAATATTTTTTATTAATAAGTAATAGATTTCTACACCAACATAGTGAAGGAACAACGGAAAGAAGTTAGGATGAAGCGGAAGATTATTTTATACTCAATTTATATACGATTATAATATTATAAATATAGTTACATTATAACATAGAATATACACCATGCACCCCTAGGGTTAGTGGACGATTCATCCCTGGGTTGACATGCGCCCTAGGGCGGGAGGCTCCGAGCGACCGCTACTCTCACGTTTGTGAAAATAACTACCTACAAATGGGTCACTTCACGTCTCAAACATTAACTATTTTATTATTTTCTGAGACAGGCAGAAAAATGTATGACAAAGAGATGAATGCATTGCGTAAGAGATGACATGAACAAGAAGGGAGTGATGACTGAGATGACGGATGATAGAGCTGTTTGGAGAATGAGAACCCGGTGGCCAACCCTACGGCAGTGGGATACGGTAGGGGAGATGATAGGCAGAAAATGATTTCATATCATACTTTAATTAACGAATATGTAAAAATGAAGAACACCGATGTTACTGGTATTTTGTGTTGACATAAAATGTTGGCCTGCTCGTGGGGTCAGACAGGCACATTTGCGACCGCAGAACGGCCGCCCGGGGACACCTGAGTTCCGATTAGTGGTTAAGTGTCACTAACTAACTTGTCAAAACCTAGGCCTAACCAGGATAGCCTGTGAATGCGAGCTGGAGGCACGGTAAGTAATTGTTACTGCGGCAGTTAGTTGGATTTGGGGGGCTTGCTACGGATTGACTACGAGCTACGAGCTAGCTACGGGTCGCTACGGGAAGGCTCTTACCATAAAGCCTCGCTCGCCTTTCTCCCCTTTGCTCCCCTGAAACGTCACATGGGCGTACAGTAGCCGTCTGTATGTGGCGACATCGCCGCGAGCCCATCGGGACCGAATTGAAAGGAAAACGAGTGAATCGCTTTAAAAATCTATTCGACCACATATTAATATTACTTAGTAATTAAATAAAAATTAAGTAAAGTGTATAGGTATTTGACAATTTCGGTTTCCGTGTACCGTGTGGAGCTGTCCTCGTGCGTGATAGTGACTCACACGTGCTCCAAGTAACTCAGTGTGTAATAGAAAAGGAGCAATCATGAAAATGAAAGTAGAACAAAATAAATATAAGAAAACAAAAAAAAAATATACCGGAAATCCATTCTTCCCCGGAGCACCCATTAAACCCTGAAAAGAAAGTAAAATAAATAGGCAATGAAATTCAAAACATTTGTTAGGCGCTGCCTTGCACTGGGAGAAGGGCTGATGGCTGGTGCTCCGTAGAGCGACAGCGCGGCGGGGCAGGGCTGACGAGGGCGGCTGCGGCGGACACTGCGCCGATGACGCGAAGGTAGCTACACGCGCGACACTCACCGGGGGGCCGGACTCGCCGGTGTCACCTTTCTTGCCTTTCTTGCCGCGCTTGCCCGGCGGTCCGGGGGGGCCTGCAAATATATATAATTATCAAACGCCTCATTATTTTACGTACATCATACATTTTCTGACCTATGGAAGTTGATTTGTTGAAACGAAAAGGTACGTAGTTGTAAATTATATATGTCCTATACGGCAAGTGAACATCTGTTTTATTGTATCGTATCAATTGGACAGAGGCAGCACGAAACATTTGATTTTATTTATTTGCATCGGCATTTGAGAGGAAAGACATCAACAAACACAAGACAGCAACAGTACAACAAAGTTCCTGAGAAACTTTTTCTACTCTCACTCTCTCTCTCTCT